ATCATTGAGACGTTTTAAATTATACTTATCAATGAGATGTGATGAATATTTTTTTATCATTGAGACGATATAAATATTACTTATCAATGAGATGTGGTAAATATTTCATATCATTGAGACGATATAAATATTACTTATCAATGAGATGTGGTAAATATTACTTATAAATGATTCTTTGTCCAGGATTGTTCATCGATCAGATGGTGTAAATATTACTTATCAATGAGATGTTGTAAATATAACTTATTATTGAGACGATATAGATATTACTTCTCAATGAGATGTGGTAACTATTACTTATCATTGAGACGATATAAATATTATTTATGAATGAGATATGGTAAATATTACTTATCAATTAGATGGGATAAATATAGAATTGAGACGTTGTAAATATTACTTATAAATGATTCTATGTCCAAGATTGCTCATCGATGAGATGGTGTAAATATTTCACATTAATGAGATGTGTTGAATAATACTTATCAATGAGACGTTGTAAATATCTATTATCAATGAGATGTGATGAATACTACTTATCAATGAGACTTTGTAACTATAACTTATCATTGAGACGTTGTAAATATTACTTATCAATGAGATGTGGTAAATATTACTTATCATTGAGACGTTGTAAATATTACTTATCAATGAGATGTTGTAACTATCACTTATCACTGAGACGTTGTAAATATTACTTATCAATGAGATGTTGTAAATATTACTTATCATTGAGACGTTGTAAATATTACTTATCATTGAGATGTTGTAAATATTAATTATCATTGAGACGTTGTAAATGTTACTTATCAAGAGATGTGATGAATATTACTTATCATTGAGACGATATAAATATTACTTATCAATGCGATGTGGTAAATATTACTTATTGAGACGATATAAATATTACTTATCAATGAGATGTGGTAAATATTACTTATAAATGATTCTTTGTCCAGGATTGTTCATCGATCAGATGGTGTAAATATTACTTATCAATGAGATGTTGTAAATATAACTTATTATTGAGACGATATAGATATTACTTCTCAATGAGATGTGGTAACTATTACTTATCATTGAGACGATATAAATATTATTTATGAATGAGATATGGTAAATATTACTTATCAATTAGATGGGATAAATATAGAATTGAGACGTTGTAAATATTACTTATAAATGATTCTATGTCCAAGATTGCTCATCGATGAGATGGTGTAAATATTTCACATTAATGAGATGTGATGAATATTACTTATCAATGAGACGTTGTAAATATCTATTATCAATGAGATGTGATGAATATTACTTATCAATGAGTCTTTGTAACTATAACTTATCATTGAGACGTTGTAAATATTACTTATCAATGAGATGTGGTAAATATTACTTATCATTGAGACGTTTTAAATATTACTTATCAATGAGATGTTGTAACTATTACTTATCACTGAGACGTTGTAAATATTACTTATCAATGAGATGTTGTAAATATTACTTATCATTGAGACGTTGTAAATATTGCTTATCATTGAGATGTTGTAAATATTACTTATCATTGAGACGTTGTAAATGTTACTTATCAAGAGATGTGATGAATATTATTTATCATTGAGACGATATAAATATTACTTATCAATGCGATGCGGTAAATATTACTTATCATTGAGACGTTGTAAATATTACTTATCATTGAGACGTTGTAAATATTACTTATCAATGGCATGTGGTAAATATAATCTATCAATGACATGCGGTGGATATTTCAAATTAACGAGATGTGGTAAATTTTTTACATTAATGAGATGTGGTAAATATTTTACATTAAGGAGATGTTGTCAATATTTTACATTAATGAACTATGGATGATGAAATATAGATATTACTTTTCTGTTTCAACATTGAGAAAGGCCGTTAGTTAGTTTGTTAATTACTTCTTTTTCATTTTAACGGATATCCAAATATCGCAAACCTATTTATTTTC